ATAAGTAGATGACCACTTGTTAAGTATTTATTGAATAAATTAGAGCCCCCAAAGCTAGTAAGAAGCATTTAGCATTTCAAAATCTATTTTTAAATCCCTCCCCGAAGATTGCTTTGTGATCAGGGTACAGACAGGCCTCCAAATGGTCACTGTTATCAAGTGGCTTCATCCATAAAGATGGAGGGAGATAAAGGCTGGGAATTTGGTCCATGCTTTCCCTTGGGTCTGGTATATTTTAAAAAATATGTACTTTCTCTCAGTTAACTGTTCATTCCCTGTATAAGAATATACCTGAGACAAGCTACTCAACCCATAAGGCTAAAGGTTCAAAGTCTAAGATTGGTCAGGGTCAAATCTTTGGCCTCTGGGAAGGGTAGCGGATGGAAACACATCACTGGGTGCACATGTAGGAGCAAATGGTCACATATGGATCAGGAAGCAGAGAGTGATGGGTGTGTTAGGCTTGCTCGTTTTGTCAACAACCCTTACATGAGAGCTGAAGGGTTTGAATTAGAGCCACTTTCCCAGAGCCCATCTTTCATTACCTAGGGACCTTCCACCAGGCTCTACCTCCTGAAGATTGTCCTAACTCCCAGCACTGCCACTCCAGGGACCAAGTTCCCAACACATGAAACTTTGGGAGGGCACAGTTCGCAGCACAGCTGGCAACTGAGTTTGTGGGCAGTCCTTGTACACTCGCTCTGCCCCAGCATCTTTTCAGTTACCTTACACAGATTCATAACATTCATCTCTCAGCAAGTCTTAGCTGTTTCTTCTTAAAAATATCTATATATCTATATATATATATAAAACATAGACAAGTTAGCTAGCTTTTCTAAAGCCACCTAGAAATTAAGGAATAAATATGGAATATAAAAAGTGTAAGAAAGAAATGGTCATCTTGAGATATGATTGTCATTTTTATTTAGCTCTTGTTTAAATTCCTGTGGAACTGTGGTCTTTTTTTTTTTTTACTTACTGAATATGTAGTTAGTGCTATATGAAGCCTGTGATTACAGGGTGGACTGAAATTATGATTTTTAAAAATTAAAGAAAACAAATGGAAAAGGATTGAAGGAGAGAAAAGGGAGAGCAAGAAAGTAGAATTAGAATTATACCTATGAAATACATGTGAAATTAAATGATGGAAGCTGGGTTTAAGTCCAAGTTCACTTGGCTGCAAACCTGTAATCATAATCCCTTTAGCTTTCTGTCAGTGTAACTTGTTTAATTATTTTTTTTTTTTGTCCTTTGAGGATTTTGACCTCTTTTTCTCTTACATCTGCATTTATCTCTTTTTAAAGTTATTACTTCTCTTCTCTCACCACTACCCTTTTCCTCTCCTCTCCCCCTCCTTTCTTTCATCTCCTAATTCCATTAATGATGAGAAGAGCGACATTATTTACCTGAAACTTATATTTCAGGAAGCTTTCTATCAGCAAACAAGAGTAACTTGGTAACTTTGTAAAACAAAATGCAGATGAGAATGATAAATCTCTAAGGCTTGCATGCCCCTGGTTATGAAGTGGTTTTAAAATCACCTCCAGTTTTGAACTTTGAATTTGCACTGGTGAAGACAGTCAAAGCAATAGAAAGAAAGAGAAAAACTTCAAAACCGCCCGTATTTTTTCTCTCCCTGTAAGAAAGCTACTGTAAATTGTGGCACTGCTTTTCAAATAAGATTAGATTCTGCCGCTGCCTGCTGCTTCCCCACACATTTCATCTCCTTTCTAGAAGTCGCAGAAACCTCTCTTGGGACCCTGGGTAATGTGAAGAAAGAATAGAGTGTTCAGGCACACAAGTTGTACAGAGAACTGAGGCACACTGATTTGCATTTCTGGGTCAGCATGACTTCCCTTTCATTTAACCCCAGTACTGACCCTTGTTTTCCAACACATTGGCTCTGTCAGCCAGCTGTGAGCATGCACTGGGCTCATCTTGGGGGCAGACACTGGGGTAGGCGTGGCCTCCCAGCTTCCCAAAGACTGCAAACCTCCCCGGACACTGCTGGGCCAGTTTCCCAGCATCATTAAGATCATTTCCACGAGGAACTAGTCATCATTTGAAGTGTCTCTGAGTGCAGATTTGATTCAGATTTAATTGGGTAGCTTTGAGGGTCACTGGAGAACAAAATGAATGTTAAAAATCACGTATTCATTTGTACCCATGGAAGCCAGAGAAAAGCAAGGGAGAGCAATACATACGTATTCTCTTCTTTCCCTTTGGGTAAAAGTCAGGCTGGGAATTCCATAAGGAGTATGTCAGAGAGAGGTACATTCTTCTAAGATGTTTAGAATCAAGTCCTTTCTGCTGTCTCAGTCACGGCATCATTTCCCTCAAGAAAGAGAAAAGACTCCAGAAAAATTTTGTAAACTGGAATGTAAGAGGGTTGGTCACCAGTTGTTCAACTGCAGGGAGCTCCACTTGGCAGTAGTCTATAAAAGTAGTGGTGGATCGCAAAGTACAAAGTGTTGGACCAATGCCAGACAGAAGCCTGGTGCTAAAATGAAGAAGATAAAGTGTTGATTCAATGCCTGCTTGAAAGAGGTATACCTCAATTAGTAAAAATATTTTTATTGATTTTTTATAATTACAAAACTAGTAACATATTTATATAGTACCTGAATAATATCTCAGTAAAACTTTTTATTTTTAAAAAGAAAAAAATTGCTTTTATTGGAAGGCTAATTTACAGAAAAAGAGAGGCAAAGAGATAAAGATCTTCCATCCACTTGATTCACTCTCCAAGTGGTTTCAATGGCAAGAGCTGAGTTGATATGAAGCCAGGAGCCAGGAGCTTCTTCCAAGTCTTCTATGTGGGTACAGGGTCCCAAGGCTTTGGACCATCCTCCTCTGTTTTTCCCAGGCTATAAGCATGGAGCTGGAAGGGAAATAGCGCAGCCAGGACATGAACCGTATGCTGGCGCTTGTAGGAGGATTAGCCTGTTGAGCCATCACACTGGCCCCAACAAAACTTTTTTTAATGGTAATGTCTCTCTGATCTGGGACAACTAATATGGAGAGCACAGAAATGTAATCTCTGTTGGTGAGACTAGCATATTGAGAATTAGCAGCTTTACACAGCAAGAGTCTGAATTCACAAGTAATAGTAGGATTTTCGTTTTAATTTACTTTTATATTATGTAATCTTTTTTTCTCCTTTTTCTACATGCTATGCCATGATAACTGTAAATACCAGAAAGTTCAGCTTATTACTGCGAGTTTAAGGAGTGAATAGACTATTGTAATAATTTTGGGAAAAGAGTGAAGGAAGAAGATAGGGACGGAGGAGTGGGAGTTTGGAATGCCTGTACAAAAACAAGTAAAGTGAGCACTATAGAAAAGATATATAAATAATGAGAATAAAAACAATAATCACTAATCATCCCAATTTCCACAAATAGCTATAATAGCATGGAATGTTTTCTATTATTTTCAAGTGTGTGAATGCAAACCTGAAGTAATGTAATAAATACTGCTGAAATCACCTTTTGCTTCATGAATCCTAAATATCAGCTAATCTTCTTCCTTTTCATGAAAGTTTTCGAAAGTATTTAGACCGTTGTCCATTGTTGAACATCAGATTGTCTCTAAGCTTTTATACTGCATAAGTTCTCTAATGAGTTCCTTGTAGTTTTATCTTTGTGCACATTTTGTTGATTTCCTAGATAAACTAGATATTTTATTTCAAAAGCAAAGATTATATTCTCCTTTGATATTTTAAAATTTTGTAAATAGCATAGGAAATGAGTGTTAGGAATCATGTGTTCAGTTGTGTCCATGGCTGTGTGCTGTGTGTCCTGTGTGGTTGCTCATCATTTAGGGTATCAGGATAGCCAATGGAGAACCGTGATTGATATGTTCTCTCTCTCTCCCCCCTCTTTCACTTTTGGGTGGGGGTCATGCTGAAAATTCTGTGAAGACTTGCTTATGTATTTTCCTGAAGGAATCTATATACAACTTGAATCAATTTATACTAGTTGAGTATATCATTGGTCTTATTTTTATACACATACTCCAGGATTAGTTACTGTAATTTAAACATTTCCCCCAATTTGACAAGTGAAAAAATGGTATCTTATAACTTGTTAGAATTTGCATAGCATCAAGTCTTAATGAAGTAAAGCTTTCTTCTAAATGATTATTGGCCATTTTCAAGTTACTTCTACCCTTTAGACTTTTCTTATGGGTAGTTTATTTTTTTTTTTTTGTTAGTTTCCAGGGTCTTTTATCTAAGAAGGCTATTAATCCTTTGTTATCTTTTTGTTGTGATTTTAAAAAAAGAATCTCTGCTGAAGTGAAAGTGATGCATGCAGATTTTTTCCTTAGAAAGAGAGCAATTGAGCTGCAACCAATTACAGAAACAAAGCTTACCCTTGACTGGGAACGCTGGGTAGGTCAGGTGCACCTTGTTGTTTTCTGAGACATGCTTCCAATCAAAAAGGCAGATAGCATCATCTTTAGAAATAATTGTGACTTTAATTTGAGATAAATAATTACTTTAAGCTAAATACAGCAAAATTAGCTTTTGAGCCTTAGTCAATCTTGTATTTATAAAGCTTGCATTGTCAAGGAACTTTTATTTGAAACATTTTTAAAGGTCAATTTATGTTTTTGTTTCTTTTTAAATTTAACTGCTCCATGAGTGAGGTAGTATCCCATATTTTAGTTATGATCCAATTTGGAAGAAACTAAATCAGAAGTTTGAATTCTAAGGCAAAGGAGCTCTGAGGGTTGGTTGATCTGCTAAATCAGATATTTAAAAAGAATTTGATTTTTTTTTTTAAAAGATGTATTAATTTATTTTAAAGGCTGAGTTACAGCGAGAAGGGAGCAACAGAGAGAATCTTCCATTCTCTGGATCCCTTGGCAGATCACCACAACAGCTGGTGATGGGCCAAGCCAGAGCCGAGTGCGTGCCTGTAATTCTATCCAGGTTGGCCATGTGCAGTATTTTGGCAGCGGCCCAAGTACTTGACCTTTCTATTACTGTTTTCCAGGTACATTAGCAAGGTGTTGAATTAGAAGTGGGTCATCTGGCACACAAACCAGCATTTATAAGGGATTCCAGTGTTGTGGGTGATGACTTGAGCGACTATTCTCCAACCATGGACATGCTTCGTGATCTTAAATGAACATCTTTGTCTCCCCCAAAGGGAGTAACAGCCCCTGTGTTCATGTGAGGGTAGGAGTGGTGTTTGAATTGCCAATGAGATCTTTTAAGCATGTGGTGTTTTCCAAAGAGAAATGAATAATCATTTCACAGTGTAGCTCTTTACTGCTACTTAAAAATGTAATTTTACTTAGGTGTGGGTGAATGCATGACTGTGGGTTCACGCATTTTGTTGCCTATTTGAAGTCACTCATCATTGGAAACTTTTTTTTTTTCAGTTTTCCTTCCATAATTCATGCATATGTATTTTTAAAATCCTAAAATGATTGCTATTTTAATCTTTTAAAGAGGTGAGATTAGAATGTTTTTAAAAATGTATTTGTGTTCGTTTTGTTTCATTTGAATGACAAAGAGATAGATGCAGAGAAATCTTTCACTTCCTGGTTCCTTCTTCAAGTGCCTGAGACAGCCAAAACTGGAATCCAGGTATTTCCTCTAGATTTCCCACATGGATGGGAGGGACTGGAGTACTTGAGAGACCATCTCTTGCCTTTTATGATGTGCGTTAGCAGAGAGTGAGACTGGGAGAAGAGGCTATAGGACCTGAACCAGCATTCCAATAGGGATTGGGGGGGGGGGGCGGTTCTTAACCAGTGACGTAACTGTCACATGACCACCTCAAGATTGCTGTTTTTAAAGGTTTATTTATTTATTTGAAAGTCAGAGTTATGAAGAGAAAGAGAGAAATAGGAAAAGATAAAGAGAAAGACAAAGAGAGAGAAAGAGAAGAAGTCTTCCATTGGCTGGTTTGCTCCCCAAATGATTGCCAACAACCAGAGCTTTCCAGGATGAAGCCAAGAGCCTGGAGTTTCTTTCAGGTCTCTCATGCAAGTACAGGGGTCCAAGCACTTTGTCCATCTTCTTCTGTTTTCCCAGGTATATTAGCAGGGACCTTGATTGAAAGTGGAGAATCTGGGAAGTCAGTTGGTGGCCATATAGGATGCCGAAGTTGCAGAGGGTTGCTCAACTCTGTGTAACAGTGCTTGCCTGGATTATTTTAAAAAAATGTTGACATTTTCGGGCCTGGCGCGGTGGCGCAGTGGTTAAGGTCCTCGCCTTGCATGCCTGGGATCCCATATGAGCGCTGGTTCTATCCCGGCAGCCCCGCTTCCCTTCCAGCTCCCTGCCGGTGGCCCGGGAAAGCAGTCAAGGATGGCCCAAAGCTTTGGGACCCTGCACCCGCATGGGAGACCCGGAAGAAGCTCCTGGCTTCGGATCGGCATAGTATTGGCCGTTGCGCTCACTTGGGGAGTGAATCATCAGATGGAAGATCTTCCTCTTGTCTCTCCTCTCTATATATCCGCCTTTCCAATAAAAATAATAATAATAATAAAAATGTTGACATTTTCAAGTGATAGATAATTATTTCTTATTTATTTATTTATCTACTTATTTAAAAGGCAGAGAAATAGAGCTCTCATCTGTGGGTGTACTCATCCAAGTATCTGCAGCATCTTGATGGGACAAAGCTGGAAACTACCAACTCAATCATATCTGCCTTGTTTAACCCAGCAGTGTGAGCTCTGCTTGCTGCCTCCCAGGGTAGCAGCAAACTGGAATTGAGAGTAAGTCCAGGACTGGAACCCACATATTCCAATATAAGATGAATGTATCTTTTTTTTTTCTGAGAAATATTTTATTTCTTTGAAAAGCAGAGTGATAGCTAGAGAGGGAGAGATGGAAAGATGTTTTCATCTTCTAATTTATTCCCCAAATGGTTGCAGGATTCAGGACTGAAGCAGAGTGGAGCCAGGCGTCAGGAACCCCATTCTGGTCTCCCACATCGATGCAGGAACCTGAGCACTTGGGACAGCTTCTGCTGCTTTGGGACATCTTCCACTGCTTTCCCAGGTACAATGGCAGGGAGCTGGATGGGAAGCATAGAAGCTGGACTTAAACTGGTGCTCAGATGGGATTCCAGTATCCTAGGCAACAGCTTCACGTGCTGTGCCACAGCAGTGGCCCCAATGGGGTATGTGCATCTTAACTTTTGGCCAAGGCCTACCTGAAGATGGCTGTTTTAAAATGATTGGCAGTAATTCTTTCACCAGTGAAAATAATGATGTCTTAACCCAAAGCATAAATAAAAGGCTCTGTCAAGTTCCCCTGCTGGAGAACAGAATTCTGCTCTTCAAGTACAACAGCCCTGTGGCTTGTCTCCAGATTGGCGAGTTGCAGTGAGGATAATGCTTTAAGTGATGAAGTTGGCATTTCCCATCTGTTGTACCTCAAATACAGGCTTCCTTCTCTCTACCAATCACAAATATAAAATCTCTGCCAATAGTTTGACCATCTGGATTTCCCATCATACCCTGTTTTCCCACCTGGAGATTCAGAGCAGGTCTTTGATTGATGTTTTTCAAAACTGCCTCATAAAATCAAAGGACAGATGAACAATATTTTTCTAAAATTGTAAATGGTAGAACCAACAGGCATAATTTCTGTTATTGCATTTAGAATTGTTAATAATCTTGGCCTCTGGGGTGTTGATTTTTATTTTTGTCTTTAAAACAGGCCACACATTCTCACTAGCTGCTTTTGCTAAACAAAGTCAGACCTGAGATTAAAGCAGCGAGCCAGGGAAGTCCCAAGTAGTTGTTCAATGTTAAACACAATGAGTTTTACATTTTAATTAAAATGAATAAAACTTTAATTAATATTAAGTTGGTTTGCCTTCTCTTAGGGAGCCAAGTACCACCTAGGTTATGTCATCTGGCAGGCTCTGCTGCTGGAAGCATCACTTCAGTGTATTTAAGGGAAAAAGCATTATTCAGAATTATTAGCTGCTTGGCTGTTTCCGTAGACCTATCAGCTTTCAGTCTGGTTGGTTCCAAATTTCCTTTTATTCTTAGCAAGCTGGAAATTTGTCTACTTTTGTTCTTACCTAATTTCTAACTGGAATGACAGAAAAAGTATTAAGCTATGGTTTCTTTCTAGATCCTATCAGTTTCCTTAAACACAGTAATCTCTTCTGCAAGCCACTGGTGTGCTGCTGAGGGTTACTGGGCCTCACAGACCAGCTGCTGTCTGTGCCCTGCAGAGCTGTTTGCTTCTGGGGAGCAGGCAACTACTTCCCCAAAGGGTCACACTCTTGGAGACTCTTGAACGTGAACAACAGTGCAGAAACAGGAGCTCTCGCTGCTTTCCTGGCATCAAACAAAAGGACCTGGCCACGTGAATATCACGTTTTTACTTCCTTTGTGGTTCAGATGAGAGAGCAGGTGCAATTGCACAGCAAAATGAAGCTGACCCCTACTAGGATGGTATTGTCTGCCAGCTCTGCCCCAGCTAGGCCAGGCCTTTTCAGCTAATAATTAATAATATTTGAAAGGTCCAGGGTGCAGAGAGACAATTCAACACAAGGTTGGGACTATCCACTCTGCGTCATGTAGCATTACTAATCAATGTGATTAAAGCAACTTTTATCTGGCTCAGAATGTGGTGTTTGAAACACATTTCTGCCTCAGTTGGTAGGCTTACTTCCTCCTTTCTTTGTAAAGCTTCACAACAAGTAGCTTGATGTGAAACTGGAACTCAGTGTGGGGCAAGAGGATGGGTGGAGGGATGGTCACATTATGAAGTTATTGCAAATGTACTGACTGGTGATTTCACACGTACACATTCCACATTACAGGAAGCTCTCACGGTTAAGCAAACCATGTCCTGTTGGCCCCTCACCACCAAATTTTCCATTGCTGATCTCTAAAATCCTAGCTTCCAAAATGCTTGCTTATTTTAGCACGTCCATTGCCTTTGTGGAGTAAAACAGGAGGAATATGATCACTTGAATTTCAAGAATAGGAATACAATCTACATGAATGAAGAAAATCTGGAGGACAAGGAGATTTTTTTAGCCTCTTGCACATTATATGTTCATCCTTCTTTCAACAGTGCTTCGTTTACACTGACTTTTTAAATACTAAAACAATATTGCCCATGGATCATAAAAATTTTTACCAGCTCTATTTGTTCACAGTAGTCATTCCTTCTCATTTCTTTTCCTTCTTCACATATGTATCTTTTTAAAAAACTTATTTATTCATTATAAAAACTAATAAAAAATCAAATACTATAAAGACATTTAAATTAAAGTCATCCACACCCTGCCAAGCCCTGTTTTATTTTCCTAAGCATTCTCTATTAACCTTTTGGTGGGAGTTCTCCTGGTCTCATTTACTTTTACATGCTTGCACAACCAGAGTCTGTGTAGGTTTCTATAAATCCTGGGCAAGTGAAGTAACACAGGCAAAGACGGAACTGACTTGCTCCAGGCATAGATCCAAAAAAAAAAAAAAGCACTGAGTGAAGGGGGAGGGAGGCAGGAAAGGGAGGATGAAATGAGACCCAAGAGAGATGAGAAGAAAGATACAACTCCTTTCTCCTCTCCTAAAGGTCAGCTCCTTGGGGATATGGTTTCAATCTTAATCATTTTTATAAATTTTTCAAATTAGAAGACTTCCGAGGAGGTAGATGATATTGAGTGAATGCGTAAGAATAACGAGCAGAAACTCTGAAGCTCAGGTTTGGTAAAGTTCCTAGAATAATTTTATTAGTTTCTTTCTTTCTTTCTTTCTTTCTTTCTTTCTTTCTTTCTTTCTTTCTTTCTTTCTTTCTTTCTTTCTTTCTTTCTTTCTTTCTTTCTTTCTTTCTTTCTTTCTTTTCTTTTCTTTTCTTCCTTCCTTCCTTCCTTCCTTCCTTCCTTCCTTCCTTCCTTTCTTTCTTTCTATCTTTCTTTCTTTTTTTAATAATCTAAAGGCTTTCTTTGCCTGTATTTGTGATCTGTAACTTAGTTTTATAATCTGCATGCAATCAGCACATGGCATTTTAAGTACCATTTAAAGTGCCATGGATAGTTTTTGCTAAATTAATATTAGGTATTAAAAACCCTCTAGAAGGAAACCAATCTCGGAAAGGAAGTTGTGAACCATATCTTCTAGTTGCTTGATGGAAGATTTTACTAGAAATGTCAATGAGACTAAAAATAGCTCACAGGCCCTCTGCCTCGCCTTGGGAAAAGGAATCTGTTGGCTAATGACTCCCCCAAAACAGTCAAAGCCTTTCTCTTGGGCAGTTTGAATGACGAGACCCAAAAATAAACAAAAGCAAACTGATGATCAGAAGTAGCCCCAGATTGTCACAAAAACCAAGGGAAGTGGAAAGAAGGCAGTAAGCAGAAACTATGAGGCAATAGATGACTTCAGTCATTAGAGGCTTTGAGTGAAAGCATAGAAAGCCATCAGCTAATAGGAGATTAACAAGACGAAGCAAGAAGAGAAAGAAAGAGAACAGGAGTTGCTTCAGGAATGGCAGGCTGGCGGGGAAATTGCTACTGGCCTCTGAGCTATGTTCTGATTTTCCGTGAAGTCTAGCTTGAAGCCTTGTTGCTTGACTTCCTGACCCCTGCTAAGTTGTATTGTTCTAGATAAATGAGTAGGTCTCCGTATTATGCAACTTGAGCAGCCTATCTGGAGTTCACCTTTACATTCCATTCCTTTGCAGTTTGTAGAGAGACACACAGACACTCTCAAGAGAGTATTACATGAGAGTAAATGGTTTGTTGATGTCATCACATTTCAACCTTTTTTCCTGCATTGGAATTCTTGAAGTTTGATTTGATCTGTACAACCATTGTTGACTTAGATTAAGAAGATTTATAGCTAAGCCAATGGACAAATTTACAATTTGCAGTAGAATTTTCTGGAGGCAGGTATCTTTTATATGTATTATTGCATGTGTTCTTATCAGAGCTCTCTATAGTCTACCCTTTTCTCTGAGCATTACTTCTTTCCTCCCTTGTGATGACAAAAGTACATTTATGAACCTTGTTTACCTTTCTCTTCCTTCTCTCCATGGAAGTGCTACTCCTCTCCTCTTCTCACATAGATTTCTGTAACTAGACTTACCACTAGGAGACCTTTACACATTTCTGAATCTCCATGGGACCCTAACACTGGAAAGATGTCACCAGTGTCTCTTAATTCATTGAGTTCAGTTGCAAATATTCCTCCCCTGAAGTTTTCTTTGTATTCTTACCCCTTCTCAGAAACCGAACCTCAGTGGGCCAGGCCCACAGCTCAGAATCTTTTTTTCCTTCTCTACCTAGTCTCCACTGTCTATGATAGCAAAGTCCTAGCAATTATACTTTTGATACCAATTTTATTCATCCCTCTTTGTGTTCATTACTTATTTCTGCAATAATCAGGATAACCAATTTTAGCAACTATCAACGAATATTTTAAAAGACTTTTACTCTGTTTCCCAAGGTTAAGAATTAGGGCATGGCAAGCTACTGTTTGAGGCTACAGATGTCCCAAAGCTTGATTAGGATTGGAGAATCCCATGTTAACATTGCTTGTTAAATTTTGTTCAATGTGATTGTTAGTAAGTGTTGGTTTCTTGCCGGCTATAGGCTGGAGGCTTCAATTCCTCACCATTTGTGTCTTTCCATAGGGCTGATCATAGTATAATGCCTTGTTTATCCCATAGGGAAACAGATAAAGAATGTCTTATGCTCAGGCAGATGCTTCAGTTTCATTATTCCTGATCTTATAAGTCACACACCATCTTTTTTTTTTTTTCCATATTCTGTGTGTATTTCTTAGACACAAACCACTAAGTCCAGCCCATACTGAAGAGGAAGGGAATTAAGGGAAAAGAGTCATTAAAGACATTTTTTATAAAGATTTATTTATTTCTATTGGAAAGTCATATACAGAGAGGAGGAGAGACAGAGAACAAGATATTCTATCCACTGATTCACTCCCCAAGTGACTGCAAACGCTGGAGCTGCGCCAATCCGAAGTCAGATGCCAGATACCTCCTCTAGCTCTCCCACCCAAATGCAGAATCCT